ACAAATTGAACGATCAAACCTTCTTGCAGTTAGGATCGTCCCAAAACTCTCACTTGGTCAAACATTACTACAGTTAGGGCCACAATCAAAATCTCCTTTCGATTCATTTTGCGAGCGAAAGGTACACTTTTGAAATTGAATAATCAAACCTTCCTGCAGTTAGGATTATTCAAACCAACCCAGATTCTCTAAGTGTAGATCTCACTTCGAGTTTCCTTTGCACCAGGAGATAGAATATAAAATTCTTCCTCTCCAATTTCGGGTTTATCTCTACCAACAAACAAACAAGAGACCAGGAGAGAGAATATAAAATTCTTCCTCTCCAATTTTGGGTTCATCTCTACCAACAAAAAAGAGACCAGGAGATAGAATATAAAATTCTTCCTCTCCAGGAGTGGGTGGGTTCATCTCTACCAACAAAAAAGAGACCAGGAGATAGAATATAAAATTCTTCCTCTCCAGGAGTGGGTTCATCTCTACCAACAAAAAAGAGACCATGTTACTCTATATAACTACACTCGACAGGAAGTTTCTAGAGAATATTACTCAGAATATTCTTAAGGATAACCTGACGACCTCCCAACGGATATGTGAGGTTCGATTCAAGATCTCGACAACGGTCAAGCGATAAACATAATACCGAGAAAGTCTTAACTATTCTACGAAGCACTGGATAGATTGAAAGATAAAGAGGTCAATATTTGAAGCCATTTATGGGTCCTTCTACATGATCCACTCAATTAAGTATTGAAAAGACTGTGAATCAGACCGATCTTATCCAAAGTATCCCAGACCCCTCTATAAAAGAATAAGTCTGGAATACTTTGGAGGGGGTATCTGTAGGCGTCAAAAAATACTGATAGATATCCAAACACAGCTCAAGACAACAAGGAGGTCATCCAAAGAGCACAAAAGATGACCTTACACTGTCTCGAAAGAATTAAGACAGTGTCAGTATAGACTGTCTCGCCGTGCGAGACAGTATTGACTGTCTCGCAGGGCGAGACAGTATTGACTGTCTCGCAGGGCGACACATGAATAACTGTCAAAATAACCGAGTTTGAACGTGGGAAGGCAGTTATTATGAAGCCATCAGGCAGTTTGGAGTTTTCCGAGACAGTGTTTACTGTCTCGGAACCCGAGACAGTAAACTCTGTCTCGGCCGCCGAGACAGCAAACACTGTCTTGGCCGCCGAGACAGCAAATGCTGTCTCGCGGGCACTTTTCCTCTAACTGTTCCTGGAGGCTATAAATACCCCCTGAGATCGATTTTTGAAGGGGCTGATCGCTGAACATTTTTGGAGCAGACAGAGCAGAGTACTTGAGCTTCTGGCAATTCCTTGAGATTCGAGCTTTGACTTGATCTTAAGAAGAGTGATCGTCTTACTTTGATAAGATCTTCACTTCAAGTTTCTACTTCGATAAACGAAGGAAGAATCACCAAACCCTTCACGATTCAATCAGAATCTGTGATTCGGTGGTCCATGGGCTAACGCACCCCCGGCATAGGCAAAGATCCCACGCAAGCAGCGATCCAAACAACGATCCTGCGTTTGTTTCTAAAAAGTTGTAATTTTCCTTTTGTTGTGTAAAAGAAGTCTTATAAAAAGGCTATCTCTTTTGAATTTGTTGTAATCGATCGAAGATATAATGAATTCCACAACGAGAATAACTTTTGACGAAAACAGACGTGAAGACGACGTTTCTTCACGGAGATCTAGAAGAGGAGATATACATGCACCAGCCAGAAGGTTTCTCAGAGGAAAAAAGAAGAACCTGGTGTGCAGACTCAAGAAGAGCTTGTATGGCCTGAAACAAGCCCCAAGACAGTGGTACAGAAAGTTTGATGGCTTTATGCACAAGGAAGGATTTCAGAAGTGCAACGCCGACCACTGTTGCTACTTTAAAAGATATCAGTCCAGTTATATCATCCTACTGCTGTATATTGATATGTTAGTTGCAGGTACAGATATGAAGGATATCAAGAGTTTGAAGCAGTAGCTGTCAAAGGAGTTTGACATGAAGGACTTGGGTTCAGCAAATAAGATCCTTGGAATGTAAATCACGAGAGACAAGAAGAAAGGGTTCTTACGGTTGTCTCAAACGGAGTACATCAACCGTGTTTTGCAAAGATTCAGCATGGGCGACGCCAAGCCAATGAGCACACCCTTGGCCAGCCACTTTCGTCTATCAAAGGATCAGTCTCCTCAGTCAGAAGAAGAGAAAGAGAGTATGGCTAAGGTTCCTTACGCCTCAGCTATCGGAAGTTTGATGTACGCAATGGTCTGTACGAGACCATACATTGGCCATGCAGTGGGAGTGGTCAGCCGGTTTATGTCGAATCTAGGAAAAGCTCATTGGGAAGCGGTCAAGTGGATTCTAAGGTATCTACGAGGCACCACACAAAAGTGTTTGTACTTTGGTAAGGGAGAGGTAGAAGTGCACGGGTACGTAGATGCAGACTTCGGCGGCGAAGTCGATCACCGAAGAAGCATCACTGGCTACGTATTCACTGTCGGAACTACAGCTGTTAGTTGGATGTCACAGATACAGAAGATTGTCACTCTGTCCACTACAGAAGCTGAGTATGTTGCAGTGACTGAAGCCACTAAAGAGATGATATGGCTTCAGGGTTTGTTAACAGAGCTGTGATTCAATCAGGAGAAGAATGTCTTGCATAGCGATAGTCAGAGTGCGATTCACTTGGCTAAGAATTCTGCATTTCATTCTAGAACGAAGCATATTGCGCTTTGGCACCACTTCATCAGATCCCAGTTGGAAGATGACGTGTTAAAACTGGAGAAGATTCCAGGAAGTAAGAATCCAGCAGACATGTTAACAAAGACAGTGACCGTTCAGAAACTGGAGTTGTGCGCAGCTTCAGTTGGCCTTCATGCATAGATGATGAGGGCGGAGCCACACAGGAGGAGGAGCTTGATGAGATAGCCTACTGTCGACGGTTTGATCTCCAAGTGGGAGATTGTTGAGATCAGGTGAAGACCAAACCTCCGCAGGCGAGCACGATGTCGAGGCGGATCAGAGGCGAGCTCAAGGCGAGTTCGAGATCAGCGGCTTCAGGCGGATCCATCGCAGGCGAGCTCCGCATGGCTGGCGACAGCCTGTCGCCAGCCCTAGGGTTCCCCCTATAAAAGGGAACCGAAACCCTAGCCAAAAGTGTGCCAAAGTTTTCCCCCCTTTTCTCTCGCGATCAAGCTCCTGGCGGCGGACAAAAAAAAACACAGCAGCGTTTTTCTCTGTCTTCTCCTCGTGATCTTTCTGCTCACAGTTTGTTGAGGGAAATTATTGTGGGAATATTCTCTATTGAAAGGGGTATTAAAGAAGAGGAGAATCTTTACTGTAGCTACAGTGAAAGATTGTATTTATTGAGGAATCTTAAGTTTGAGATCCGCTCTTGAATTGTAATTTCTTGTTAGATTAATAAGAAATTGATTGTGTGGCTCCAGAAGACGTAGGCAGTTACCGAACCTCGTTAAAACTTGGTGTACTTTTTCTATTCTGCGTTTCTGTTGCATTAGGGATTTCGGCGATAAATTCCCAACAAATCATTGGTTGAATATGGCTGGTGAAAACTTTTCCTAAGAATTTTAACAAAGCATTTGATTCCTCTTCTACTTTCTCCATCTGTATCGTTCTCTTCTGGAGATTCTTCAATTCGGTCCGGGAACCATTTGGATCCACTTACAACTATCACTTTTCTCAACGGCACTGATGAATATATAGCTTATTTAATATACGCACAGTATAACACAATCAATTTGTTGGGCAATAACCGGGGGCTACGCTAAATCCCTAAAACAACAAGAAACACATTATAGAGAAAAGTACACTAAGATTTACGAGGTTCGGCAAACTTGCCTACGTCATCGGGAGCCACACAATTATTACTTTTCTCAACGGCACTTATGAATATATAGCTTATTTAATATACGCACGGTATAACGCAATCAATTTGCTGGCACTAGCATACTATTGTACTTCATAGGCAAAAACTGTGAATGCATAATACTGTTACCTTCTCATAATTGTTAAATGGACCAAACTGGCCACGACCCGTGTACGTTGTGGATCCACCAGCGCGATGTTGGGCCGAACTTCCCCGCGCTTATAGAAATAGATCGCGCATGCGTGCTCTCTTTTATCAAGTTTTAATATGAATACTGCTGAAACTTCCACTGTTGTTATGTGGTATTATTAACGAGAAATGTCAGTTGATTTTTTCATCTCCCTTCTCAGGGTGACATCTCTGGAAGTAAACACCCCCCACCTTAAAAAAAAAAATTTGTTCTGTTGCTATTTATATATGCACATTGACTAAGAGTGACGCGCTTCTTCAGATTAATCTTATCGTTTTGTCTTTTGCTACTGATTGTTGCAATATTTCTAACTCTAGTTTTGTATGCCACACGCATCAGAACGAAGATTTCTTGACGAAGTTCACACCTCCCGATCCTTCGGTCACACTTATCGAACCGTTCATCTTCGATCTAACAATTAGTTTGCAGAGAGAGATACATATGTGCACACCTAAACTGTGTTTTTCTCTCGCACAAGGTGCTGTGTGCCTCGTCTGTGCTTCTTCTGTTGTGGTATAATGTTATATTTGGGGGATATACTTAATGAGCTCTCTTTTTATCTTATACCGAGATGTTTGATTAAAAAGGCTTTTAGATATATAGAAAGTCCCATCTCAAAAAAAGGAAATGCTTACTTTGCTTTTGTGCTCCTCACGTCAATTGATTTCCTTGTAAGATGTAGCCCCTTTGTTTTCATTATCTAAACGAATTGTGTAGCCTAGGTTATCTTTCTTTGTGGATAAAAAGCGAGCTCCACCATCCTCTCATATCTCTTCTTCTCAAAAGTGATACCAAGATCCTAAGCCTGAAGGTTTTACGGTTTGTACTAAGTTAGATGAAGAAATCATTTTTTTGCTGAATCCCTAGATCAAAGATACACATAACATGTTGCCGGAGTCCCACAAATGAAGCAGTTAATTAAAATTTTCAGCTCAAGGAGAAGTTAAAGATTGGTTAGGGTCAGACAAACTAAGCCTCCTTCTTTACAACAGCCTTCTCAAACTCGCAGGTCTTATTATGTCATGTTCAGGCTTAGACACTGGAAGAGCCAAGGAGGCCTGTTCACTCTCTCCTCACTCATCAGGTTCACATCCTTCACCTGAAACAACCCCCAGTCGTTGCCATTCAATCTCGCTCCTCCGGACTCTGTGGACGACGACGAGAAGCTCGCCCCAGAGTCCGAAGTAAACGAGCTCTCCTTCTTCTTCCTCCTCCCGGTGCATCCTGTGGCCAGCGTAAGCTCAAGGCCGCTCTCTTCCTCGGCCTCCTGCATTGCATCTCCGTCGTCCTTTCCGATGTACTCTTCCGCTGGCAGCTCAAGATTGAGTACTTGATAGCTACTTCTCTGGTTATCGTTGCTTTTGCATTGTTTTACGGGATCGCTTTCGCTCTTTCTGCTCCACCCGTTTAGTTTGTTTCGGATGTTGGGGGTGCTTCTCTGTCGCTTGATCTCCGCCTTCATGTCGTTCATCAGTAGCTTCTGTACTCGGTAGAGGCGATGGAGTTCATGGACCTAGAGCAACACATAAGACAACAAGATTAACGCTTGTACAAAATCTGAAGCTACGGTGACCAATAACAATTAACATTTGAACCAAATAGCCCCTTTTGTAACAAAGGAGCGCTTCTTTCAAAGGACTTGCTTTATTTATTTATATTCAAATGCTTCTGAAAAAGGACTTTTGTGGAAACAGAATCATAGATACCGAGACTAAAAGGGGGGAGGGTTTTATTTCTAATAATTTCAATCATATACCTGTTGTTTGAAGGTCTCCTCTTGTTTTATCATGGCCATCTTCATGTAGTCCTTGTCATACTGTTTCAGATATCTCCCCATTGAAATTCTCAGATTTTGCTCAATTCTTCTGTCCTTGGACTTGTTGCTAGATTGCTTGAGAAGCTTCAGCAGGTTGCTATAACTAACCTGCATAAGTTCGCAGACTCTGAATCAGAAACAGTGAAACTGGAATGGAAAATCCCCTTCTGAATTGATCTGTTCACTAGAAAAATCCACTGATATCCTTATGACAGTTGATCATCTAGTAGGGTTAACACCATCGACAGAAAAATGCAGACATAGAGCAGTTAGGTATTGTATATTTTCTTCATAATTTTTCTTTAATTAGGATTATGCACTGAAGATGGAGCACCTTGTTCCAAATTCAGGGAAATGAAAAAACTTGTGCTACTTCTAGCACTTGGTCAATAAACTCTATTCCTTGCGTATATCATTGAGCAATCAATATAATATAACACACAATTAAATTTGAGAGAACACCATGAACTTCTTCAAGGAAAACCCATCAAACATCAAGAAAATAATTCAGCAACAACTCTAAGGAGCCTACTACGAGCTAAGAATTCTCTTACTAATTAAGGGGAGGTTATAAGACATAGAAGCATATTTTTACCTCCCAAGGCTCTTTCAGGTCTAGTCCTTTGTTAAGAACAGAGGAGGGAGAAAGAGAGAGAGAGAGAAGTTGGAAACTCTTCGGCCTTGGCTTTCCTTGGACAAAACAACAACGACCACCCTTTTATTCCCAATCTATTGAGGCAAGAGTGAGGATTTAAGATTCTCTCCTCAAACCTGCCACCGGAATATTATAGTGGGCTCAAAGGGCATGCCCAACAAATCCCAGTCCCTTAGCCAATCCAGTTCAAGCATACGAAGCAAGAAAAAAGATGCCCTCTAAAGAGAGAGAACAAGGACAACACTAATAAAATAAGAACACCCACTTATATCCTATTTTAAATTTAATTAAAAAAGAAAGAAAGGAAGAGAAAATAGAGAGCACTACCCCAAAAAGAATAATCAAACAGCTAAACCTGCCACTGAAGTTCACATGTGCCCTGAAAATTCCATGATCATTACAAGTTGGCCACAACTTTTACTATTATTGTTTGTGAGTGTGTCTAATCTTGCATCACTATTTTAATCCAAACTTAATATCATATTAATGAGATAATATCGAGATGTTGATAGATGGTGGGGGGAGGTGTGATCCTTCTACATGATATCATCTTGTGGGCTCTGTCAAGTATTAAAACACAGAGTTAGAGAGTAATTTAATATCTGTTATGACTTGTTAAGATTCCATTAATTGGTGTAAATAAGTCATTATCATCAATAGAAGTTACCTACATGGCATGCATGCAAAATCTAAAGAAGCTAATCAGTGCATGTCCTTGTCCGTCTGCACCATCCCTTAGCTGGATTTGTCGAAGAATTTCACTGTTACACAACAGTTCACCTATCATGATCATCTGGATGGTGTGCCATAGAATCTTTTAATCTCAACAATCAGTATATAAAAAAAAATTTAGCCAAGTGCACGAGGCTCTTGTGATTGTGGCCTCTCAGAAAGGTCAGATGTACGCAGCTTTACCCTACTTGTTTCCAAGATTTAAACCCATGACTTTCAGGTTACAAGGCAACAATCTTACTGTTGCGCCGAGGCTCACCCTCAATCTCAACAATCAGTCAAAATATAAAAATTAAAATTTAACTATCCATTAAGCAATCAGACTAGATATGACACTTTGGTGTGTGCGAATTAGCACGTCTGATATGATAAACCAAATACAAGACACAAATCCAACAATCAATTCCAAGACCGTGTTTGACAAACCACCCCTAAACTTAGGACATGGATAGCCTCGACTCTGTTTTAAACAAAGCAGTTCTTTTTTCAGACCAAGAGAGGCGGTCCAAAATTAAACCAGTTTAAATGCCGAAATTAGCTTTAGAAAAACTAGGCCAGATAGGCTGAATTTTACCCAAAATGAAGACAGGTTTAAACTTAATTAGACCCATTTAAAGAAGTTGCCAAACAAATTAACCCTAAGATTAGGACTATAGTATAATTCAAAATTTTAACCGCGTACTAGATAAATAAGCAGGGAGTACGTGAGGAAGAAATGGCACATAAATAAATGTGTGAGTTAGTATTTTTGATGTGACAATTTTTAACTGCCTATATTAACTAAGCGAGAAATGCGTGCATTATTGGGGCACTGCAGTACTAACAAGGCTCTTCCCCTTCTTGACTGCTTCGTAGCGAGGGAGGGGGGGGGTTTTGGTCTTTTACCCTCGGCGTGCTGACGCGGCCGAGTATTTCGCTATAACAGTTGGCTCAATCAATGTGCCTGCTACAGTGTCATGTTCCTTGTTCTCGCAGGAGAGAGAGAGAGGGATCGGCCCGACATCGGAGCACGCGTTGCCGGCCCAAGAGGAGCAGGTGTATGGGTTGGTGGGCCCCGACTCGAAAGGGGGCGGGGGGGAGGAATAAAGCTTATCAGCTCTATAAAGGAGACACGTAACAAAGCTTCGCTAATAAATGGAAAGTGTTATGTTAACCAGCTTGCTAATAACAAAGGGGGGTAACGGGAAAGATATACTTTTCTTCTTCTTCTAATAATCCTTCAACTTCAGAAAACAAGGTAGGTTTGGGTTTTAGTACTTTACTAATCAAGTAGTAGATTGATTGCTTTTCCATTTTTATTTTTAATAGAGGAGGAAAGCAAGCAAGAGGTGATTAGGTTAGTGATGTAATGTGGCTTGAAACCTAACAAATGATGATGACGTAAATAAATAAAAAAAATATAGTGCTACAAAGGAATTGGTGGGGAACCTTACTTTAGGAACAACATAGATTTGACCTAAAGTGGTCTGATGGGTTGGATTGGGAACTGAAATTCCGAGGCATATATACGAAACTAAAGTTTTCCGGGTGTTTCGTTTTGGATGTCTTGTTTATTTATAAACCCAAAGGTTTATCTTGATTTATTTTTAAACCCACGCTACTTTTGAAAATTAATCATTCTAAAATGTTTGTTGCCATGCATGGATTATTTTAGTAAAATTTTAGTTTGAGTTTAAAAATGAATACAACATGTTATTTTATGAAATATATGATTTAAGTATTTTGAAAAATAAATGCCACAAGATGTAATAAAATAAAATAAAAATCATGAGCACTTTGAATCTAGCCTCTTAGCTCCTTATATAGACCAGTATAAACCTTAACAACAATCAGCAGAATTGTCTTGCTGGCCCATGTTTATAGGGGGGACGCGGGGGGGGGGGAGAGAGTGGGGGGGGGGGGGGGGGGGAATTCTATGTTAATATGGAAAGTTATCCACTTTATTTATCATTAAATATAGAAAAATTTTGATTCATTATTAAATTTCTTTTTTTTTGTTTGAGGTCATTTGCTTCACCCATGTCATAAGTAGCTAGGAAATTAACATCACTCATATACAAGGGGGTGGGTCCTAAACCCCACTAATTCACTGTTAGGTACACTTGTACTAGTTCCTTGTTTATTTGGATAAGTTTTTGAGAAGTGACAAAGATGTAGATATTGTTAGGAAATTAGTCGCACCACCAGCAGTGAAATTGCATTAGCTATTAGTAATATTTTTTTTCATTACAAAGTTATTTTATATTTAGCGAAATAAGTCGTCAACTCATATATAACTAGTTTGGAGACTAGAATTCTTATGTAGGACTATAATAGACTTTTAACATATGATCATGTCTGGGCATGGAAAGAAGCACAATGCTAGCAAAAGGCTAGTATATTTTGTTTGTACTCGGGGGGTAAGTAAACTAAACTAATCTCTGGCTACAACCGTCCCTAATATGTAGAGGACAGGCATGCAAATTGATATGGATATATTATGTACAAGCATGTAAGGCATCGCACGAGTTCTAGGGAAGTGCAAATGAAATATGATTACCACTGTTAGTTTCTATAATACACTATTACACTATCCTGAAAATAGAACCATCATTAGTCTCACAAAGCGTGCCTATGATTCTTGAAGCATAAGCCTCGTTAGTTTCAGCGATTAACTTTTGAAAAGTACATGTTTTCTCTTAGTTTTTATCATCGATTTTTGTGGTCTGATTGCTCCACCTCTTTCACATCAAAAAAATGTTTCAATGATTCACTGTATTTGTTATGCCATGATTACTAAAAAAATTACTTTATACGTTATGTTCAAATACGAATATGCTTAGCTTGTTGTCCATACCATCTTAGGTTTGTACGTACGTACACATGTTGCTAGCTAGTTGCAAGCTTGAACATTAGGATCTGATGATATTTAACTAATGGAATCTACCTGTTATTATTATCTCACCATTCTGCTTTCAGTTTCCAGCTATTAAAAGTCATTAATTTCTGAGTGGAAAGGAGAAAACTAACATGTAGCTAGCGTTGATTAAGTTTTCAAATATCTGCGGTGTCTCTGTCTGCTTCCACAAGATTTTCAAATATATTTGGTCATACCGCGTAGAAGTCCTCCATCGTACGAAAATTAATTAATAAGTTTGATCGACCAAGAAATTTTTACTATGATCTTTCAGGCCCGAAGCTTCTCGTGAGAACTTCTTTAATTTTTAACGCAACAAGTTGAATATTAACCTGTTGCGCGCAACGAAAATTTCAGCAGCACCCCGACGCATAACAAGAGAGTCAGGTCACAATAGGAATTCTCGTTTCACAAAGGAAACAAGAACCTTAAGCAAAATATCTCAACAAAGTGGGATATCAGCTCTTCCTCTCATCAGTTCTAGCACTGACTTAATAAGTTTGATCGACCAAGAAATTTTTACTATGATCTTTCAGGCCCAAAGCTTCTCGTGAGAACTTCTTTAATTTTTAACGCAACAAGTTGAATATTATTCTGTTGTGCGCAACGAAAATTTCAGCAGCACCCCGTCGCATAACAAGAGAGTCAGGTCACAATAGGAATTCTCGTTTCACAAAGGAAACAAGAACCTTAAGCAAAATATCTCAACAAAGTGGGATATCAGCTCTTCCTCTCATCAGTTCTAGCACTAACTTAATAAGTTTGATCGACCAAGAAATTTTTACTATGATCTTTCAGGCCCGAAGCTTCTCTTGAGAACTTCTTTAATTTTTAACGCAACAAGTTGAATATTAACCTGTTGCGCGCAGCGAAAATTTCAGCAGCACCCCGACGCATAACAAGAGAGTCAGGTCACAATAGGAATTCTCATTTCACAAAGGAAACAAGAACCTTAAGCAAAATATCTCAACAAAGTGGGATATCAGCTCTTCCTCTCATCAGTTCTAGCACTGACTTAATAAGTTTGATCGACCAAGAAATTTTTACTATGATCTTTCAGGCCCGAAGCTTCTCGTAAGAACTTCTTTAATTTTTAACGCAACAAGTTGAATATTAACCTGTTGCGCGCAGCGAAAATTTCAGCAACACCCCGACGCATAACAAGAAAGTCAGGTCACAATAGGAATTCTCATTTCACAAAGAAAACAAGAACCTTAAGCAAAATATCTCAACAAAGTGGGATATCAGCTCTTCCTCTCATCAGTTCTAGTACTGACTTAATAAGTTTGATCGACCAAGAAATTTTTACTATGATCTTTCAGGCCCAAAGCTTCTCGTGAGAACTTCTTTAATTTTTAACGCAACAAGTTGAATATTAACCTGTTGCGCGCAACGAAAATTTTAGCAGCACCCCGTCGCATAACAAGAGAGTCAGGTCACAATAGGAATTCTCGTTTCACAAAGGAAACAAGAACCTTAAGCAAAATATCTCAACAAAGTGGGATATCAGCTCTTCCTCTCATCAGTTCTAGCACTGACTTAATAAGTTTGATTGACCAAGAAATTTTTACTATGATCCTTCAGGCCCGAAGCT